GCTCCGGGCCGCCCGGCCAGGAGCTGGGGCTCTGCTCTGCAGAGGACGCCGGCGGGATATTTTTTTTGACATTTTCTAAGCTGGCCGGTGGGCTGACAATTTTTAATGTACTAACTGCCTGGTCCAGTGAGCTGATTAATTGGTGCTGGAGCGATCAATACAAAACAGAAAATTAAAACAATTTTAAAGTGATTAAGTAGTTTAACACCTGTCTGCCGCCACGTCAGCGCTGGGAGACAAATAAAGCAGGTGGCAAAGGGCCTCCTGCAGCCAGGGAGAGTGACAAATAGCAGCTGTAGCCAGCCTGTCCCAGCCCACAGCCTCTGCCTCCGCCCTGCCAGCAGGGCCGGCTCTGCCCCACAGCCCCTGCGCTGCCAGGGAGGGTTCACTCGCGGCTGGGGCCCTGCCACAGCTGCACCTGGCCTGGCCTGCACCGGGGCGCCAGGGCCAGTCTCCCACCTCGGCACAGGACTCATGGGGCCAGCAAGCGATCCAATGGACGGAGAGTCGCTCCCCTGAAAAACCTAGTCCCCCCTTCTGTTCCCTGGGGCCCTGCTTCCTGTACCATGCACTGCTCGCCCTAGGGAGCTCAGCCTGCCGCCGCCCTGCGCTGCGCACTGCCCGGTCCAGCCTGGCGCTGACACCCTAGTGCTGTGGGGATGCCTGCCTAGGCACAGACAGGGCACTGCTATGCAGAAGCTCACAGCACTTGCATCTGAGCCAGGCACTGCACTGGGGAAGCTCACAGCAAGCTGCAGGCCTCTCTCCTGGCACTTGCTGGCTCCTCCCGTCCCTCCGGATCCAACGCCGCAGCAGCGTCTGTGCTTGGCCTGCAGCCCTCAGAGCGGGGTGGCAGGACTCAGAGCAGAGCCCTGACCCAGACAGGCCCCGGCCGGCCGGGCTGTGGGTGTACAAGGAGACTGTTTGCGGGTGCTGAGCACGGGCAGGCCGCCCTGGCAGGCAGATGGATGGTGTCTCCACTTCAATTCCACATCCCTTTTCTCCCAGACAAACCCCGTCGGATTTTCATAAATCAAAGCGCCACGCTGTTTAATAAAAATTTATTGACTTACAAGTGATTATTTATCAAAAGGCCATTAATAGCAGCCCCGGGAATGATGTGCTGCGGGGTGGTGCAGGGAGACTAATAGGAAATCAATGCTGGCAGCAGGGCAGAATGCAGCTGCCTCCCCGCTGCTGCACCAGCCAGAGCCGGCAGCGGCGCCTGGTGGGCCGCCCAGAGCACCCCTGTTTATTTATCGCTTACAAATGAAATGATCGATACTTTTAATCTAGAGCTAAATTTATTAACTTTCCCATCGGAGAGAGACGTATTGACTGGGGCCACGGGCAGGGGGAGCGCGGCAAGATGGATGGAGCCTGGCCCGGACACAGCTCGCCTGCCGGGCCTGCCCAGGCAGCACCGGCCCAGCGGCTCCCAGCCTGGGCAGACACTGGCAGCAGTGGGGAGCGGAGGGAAGGACCCCCCAACATCACCCCATCCTGTCCCCTGCTGACCCAAGGGAGAGCCCCTCCCTGTGAGAGCCCATGTGAGCTAGGGGTGGCTGTCAGCGCTGCAGTGCCCGGGAACCGCCTGGCTAAGAGGGCACACTGCAGCTCAGCGGGCCCCAGCGCCCCTCCAGCCACCCACTGCCCGGCCCAGCTCTACCCAAGAGGAGCAGGAGCCTGCGAGCAGGCACTGGCCCCAGGCCACACCCTGCAGGCCTACCAGACCCAGGCGTGGGCCCCAGGGCTGGAATTGTAGGGGGACAGGCCAGACCGAGGGGTGCAGCTGGGGGGAGCACAGGCTTTGTTCATCCCCCCCTCCTCCCCACCCTGGGGCAGGGCTCTGGCCCTTGGGGAAAGGGCACCCCCTGCAGGCCCTGCCCAGCACAGGCAGCCAAGGGCAGGTGCCCCCTGCAGGCCTACCAGACCCAGGCGTGGGCCCCAGGGCTGGAATTGTAGGGGGACAGGCCAGACCGAGGGGTGCAGCTGGGGGGAGCACAGGCTTTGTTCATCCCCCCCTCCTCCCCACCCTGGGGCAGGGCTCTGGCCCTTGGGGAAAGGGCACCCCCTGCAGGCCCTGCCCAGCACAGGCAGCCAAGGGCAGGTGCCCCA